GGACTAGAGCAGGGACACTACTGTTGTGCTTCCGGCCTTGTTTCCCACGCTTGAGTAGTGGGAAGGAGGGACAGACCTTGGGAAATGGTAGTGGCAGAAAGATGATTGAGAAGGTAAGTGTGTTTGGATGGTGGGTGTGGGTTTGTTTTGTTGTTTTGGGGGGTTTTTTATTTCTTTTTTTTTTTTTTTACCGGTATCCTCTAGTTGTGATGAATGTGTGGACTTATCCTTTTGACTTTCATCCAGAAACTTTCTGGATGAAACTTAATATGGAACTTAATATGTTCAGTCTACATTTGATGCATGTATTTGTAGTAGCCTGTTGGCCACTTCTTCAGTGGCTGATTCTTCTACTGCTTAATAGCTAGATTCAGAGCACATGCGCACATGCAGAAAGCTTTCAACGTTGGACTTTTAGGGTACAGTATAAATAGCACAGTTTCTCTCTGGTAGTTAACTTGACACCTTGGCCATAAATAAGTTGATTGTGATGTGAAGATGGAGGTTATCAATTAAATTCAAAGACTGAATGACTATAATACTCCTTCTTCACCGGCTATAAGCAGGTTCCAACCATTCATTTAATGTGTGGAAGCTGTTTATCACTCAGCGACTGTACTAGGGTCAGTGGTTTTCGAATGCTGACTTAAAAAGTGGATTTGGAGGTCAAAAGAGATGCCCAAGGCTTGAGTTGACATATGGCACTTTCAGGTGGCATCCCTGCCCAATAGAGGTTTAGTGGTTAGTGGAGTTGCAGTCAGAAACAACTAGAACTACTGCCCTAAGGAGTTCTCAACTGGTCTTTCACCTTTAAACTCCCTGGAATAGTGTACGGTAATTGCTTGTATGACAAAATAGGTGAATAACAGTTACTGCAATACACTTCAGCAAATGCCTCAGGTGATACCCTGTCAGCCCTCGTAGGAAGGGCGTAAGTCTTAAGAGTCAGTTCTAAGCAAAATAGAGATACCACAAACCTTTGCTACCACTCCTGGGAAGCATTATGGACTTTCTTTGAAAGTAGAGTATTTTAATATTCATCTGGAGTATTCTGGGGTTTTGTTACTTCCTAGTGTAAGAAATATAAGGATTGCAAATTTCCATGGGATGAGGGCGAAGAATAATTTTCAAGCTATCGTCTAAGTACTCGATTAAAATATAATGAAAAGTAGATTAATACCATACTCACCTTCTGTTCCTCAGATCTGGTTCCCGCCTCCATCATAAATGGTTGTCTCAAGATCTTGACTGGTTTCTTATTACATACAAAAGCCTGGAAAAAAACATCTAGACACAAAGAAAAGCTATTACCTATAAAAGAGAGAGAAATAAGCTAGCAATGGCTAGATTTCCTTTCTATCAGTGACTGTCATATAAACAGATTTGACTTCTGCTATGATTTTTAACTTTAACTTTTGCCAGATAGAAGTCTTTATGCGGAGGATGGCTTGGTTCTCCCTTCCCCTCTTTTCCATCTTTCCACTTATCTTTAACTCTGTGAAAACTCTCTTCTTAAGAAGAAAATCCTCTGTCTGAGTTAGGATTAAGTACCAAATGAAAGTACAAAAATGGACTTTTATTACTAAAAATAACAAGGGTGGAGTAGATAAACTGTTGTGTTTAAACATGTCAGAAATTGTATTTAGTTTTAAGGATATAAATTGAAGGAGTTTCTAGATCAGAGTTCATTGACTTAAATACAAAGCCTTTTATGATTTCTCAGAGAACTCTCTGATTGGGAGGATTGCAAAGCACTTGTTTTACCTAGCCCCTTAAATTTTTATTTTCAAGCTTATTGCTGTTCAGAGGTTTTAAGTAGAGAAATTCAAAGTTATTCATGTAACAATGTGACACAAATAATCTTTCACCCCTTCCCCTCAGTGTCACACTGTTATCGACAGAGATAATGGCTTATTTATTCTGCCCACGTGGTGTTGTGTAAAGGAATTGGGGATTGCCAGTGTGTTTTGGTGTATGGGTGATGTTGAACACTAGTGACCAAAAACGCCTTTTCTTTCTGATTGTGATTGGATTCTGACAAATACCTTATTTAGGCAGCATAGGCAAACTGATAATACAAGGCTATCAAACATTGGTGCTTTTTTTTTTTATCCTCTGTATTAGGAGAAGCATTGCATACCTAATAGTAGTAACAGATGGAGGAATAGTCAGTCTAAAAATGCCACATTCTTAGCTTGGTTGCTGAGAGACTGAATAGCTTTATTTTGTCAATTCTGTGTACAGGTAGAAATATACTGTTAGCTCATGGGTTGACTGATTTAAAAAGTATTTTATCCTCCCCTCCACCAAAATAGAAAGAGAAACCTTATTGCAAATGTTAGGACAACTTAATCTTATCTTGATTTGTATTTGCAAATCAAATTGTCCGCGACAGACCTCTGAATGTGTTTTTCCTACATTTTTGTTTGAGCTTAATCATGCAGAACAGTAGAGGTAGAATATATGAGTGCATGCTGATGCACTTCTAACAAGTGAGTAGTAATAAAAACTCGTTATCCTAAAGCATGGCTGTAGTTCTTCGATGCTTTACATACCTGTGTATTCAGTTAGTTTTTTGAGGCTGATTAGAAAAGGCCATGTATACACACACTGGTGAACAAAGTAGTATTCTGTATTATAGTAACTTTCATGTTCCACGCGTCTTCCAAAATATCTTTTCAAGTATTTTTCACAAAACAGTCATCAAATCCTACTCCTCCATCATCATACATGCAAGTGAAAGAATACTTTAAAGTTAATAATGGGGGTAAAGTGAGTTTTCTCTCTTTCAGGGAGAGCTAGTGCAGCAGACTGAGAACGTGTTGGTAATCCTTCTCTGTGCCTTTTCTAGAAGCCACATTCACTGTAGTGTCATTATAACTCCAGTTCTAACTTTGTTTGTAGTAACTCATACTTGCTCCTCTTAGAATAATTATTTTGTTTTTCACCTCTCTCTCCAACCCGGTATAGAGGATTTTATTTAAAAACATTTTAAACTATTGCTTATGTTTAGCTGTCTTCTCTAAGAACAGGTGAGGAATTTTTAAGTTAACCCCTGCTTTATTGCCACTAAAACCTTCCCTTGAGCTAGCTAACTTCTGTGCTACCCACCCATAGTGTCTGAAGAGTAGGACAACTTGGTCTTTAACTCAGCTAGTGAACTTCTGTAATTAAGGATTATTTCATAATTCTTGTACTGAATGGGATGAACTGAATCTTAACAAACATTTCATATTGTTGTTAACGGACTTTGCAAAGTAGATAATATTCAAATAGCGTTGTGGCAGACAGGCTGTTCGTTCTAGACATGCTAATATAATTGGGTCTCATATGCTGGACTTGTCTGTCTTGTTTGTTTGCATGTTTCTTGTCTCCCACTCTTGCCATCTTGTTTGCTTAGAATCATAGAATAGTTAAAGTTGGAAAGAACCTCTGGAGATTGTTTAGTCTAACCTCCCTGCTCGAAGTAGGGCGAACTGGAGCAGGTTGCTCAGAGCCTTGTCCAGTTGGTTTCTGAGTATCTCCAAGGAGGGAAACTCCACAGCCTTTCCAGGCAACCCATTTCCAATGTTTGACCACCCTCACAGTAGACGATTTTTCTTCTGTTTAAGTGGAATGTAATTAACTTCCTGAAAAGTAAACTTTCTGCCGTATTAAAAACAGTCCTTTCTTGCTCAAGCTTTCTCTCCTCAATCTTAGCTGGCAGCACTTAAAGGTTGGTGCTACCACCTGATCTTTCCTGGGGTCTCAGTAAGTTTTCCTTCCTTCAAAGCCCAGAAGTTGTAAATGTAGTATCCTAAATAAAGCTAGTTACTTTGTCTTTTTTGTCCTCTGTGTTCCCTAAGTAAGATCCCTTCAAATGCTGATGGTCTCTGTGTTTGCTGATAGTCGAGAAGTGTCCTGTTTCTCTTGTCAAAAGACGTAAGGCAGAACACGTTAAAACAGTTCAAGTTGTAGTTTGTTCTCACTGGACTTCATAAGCTGTGCATCAGTGGATTTCTGTAGACTAATAAGATAAACCTTTCTGTGCACAAAAAGGAAAAATAGCGAGCAAAGCTTGCAACTTAGTTTTTGAGCTATTTAGAACACTGGCTGGGGAGGGAGAAGGCTGGAAGGTGTCATAGTAGAGTAAGATACTTGTGTTTTTAAAAAAATAAAAGTTACGAATACTTGTAAAGGTGCCTATATGAAGGATTAATAAGGAAGAACACTGAATCCCTTCCAGCAACTTCTGTGGTGCAGTAATTTCTCTGTACAGATTATTCTTGCTAGTAGCTCTTATGCTAAGGACAGTGGTGGAGCTACTTCTGAAGAGAATCTAGAAGGTAGCAACAAGAATGGTTTGAAATGCAAGAAGCAAAATAAATTGGAAGAATTTAGCATAGAGACAAGAGGACTGGTCAGGAAAAGGGAAACTTAATGATATATAAAGTTTATGCATAATATATATAGCTTCTGAAATCATGGAGGATGGGATGAAAAGCAATAGCTTTAAATTACAGACAGGGATCAAGACTGGATATTTTTAATTACAATTTCCTATTGGTAATAAGATTAAATTTAATTTAGCTTATTCAAAATAGTATGATATTAGGTAATGATAGAGGCTCTATAACTGCTTAGGATGAGTATATAACAAGGACAATATCAACATGGCCAAAAAGGGAATAGATCATGTCTTGAAGTTTTCTATTCTGTTCCTCTCTAATCTTGGCCAAAACTAGACTGGGTTTTCTGGGGTGAAGAAAAAGAATCTGTAGTTAGGCTGTACGTAATGGAAAAATGTAGTTACTGAAGCTACAAATGCTTTCAAATACAGTGTGTTTCTATCTTTCTCGTAATTCAATTGGTAGAGGGCTTATCTGGTACACTGTATATATATTGCCATGGTTACTCAGTTTTGCCCACAGGTAGTTTTAACTATCAACAGAATGTTTGTTGAAATTTGCTTAGCTCTTCTGTATAAATAACAAAGATATTTTTGTTCTCTTTTCTCCCAGTTTCTATGGAGATTTTGGACCTTTAAATTTGGCGATGTTGTACAGATATTGCTGTAAGCTGAATAAGAAATTAAAGGTAAGCTTTGTTTTAACCTTTGTTCTAAATTTGTTTCTGAAAATGCAGCTTCAAAGACAGTTTGAAAGCAGATATGAGCTATTCATTAAAGCTTAACAGTAACCATTTAGATAAGGAGCTCCTTCTTTGTCCTGAATTTCTCCCCTCTGAAGGATGTAAAAAGGAATATACTCTCTTATTGCTTAGCAGCTGAGCTACTGAAGGATACGCTCGCTATTTTTTGTCTTTGTCTCAAGACAAAATAGTGAGTAACAAAATAAAAACCGGAGTCTGGGATTGCATGCATATTTCATGAATTTGCTGCTAATGAAGCAGGTATGGTGGTATGAGTGAAGGAAAACCAGATACTGAAAAAGGGCACGAACAAGAAGAAAGCATGGACCCAAAATTGCACTATTTAAATCTAGTCTCTTTCAGTGGAAAAGTTGAAACTTCAATCTTTTTCAGTTTAGTGTTGCTTCTAATAACAGTTGTGTGGAAATGTGTCATCCATATAAAAATTGTCCCTATTTCTATCTTACTTGTAGAAGTGCCATTCCTATGAATTTCTCCAAAGGAGCTTGCTTACTTCCTGCCTCTATATAGTGGTTGTAGATTCAAGAGAGAGTTTTGAATTGCTCTACGCAGAAAGATACCTTTGGTATCTTCTTTAGATACCACAATAGCTTTTCTCTCAACTGCAAAGTATTTGTCCGTCCTTTTAAACATGCTGTCTAGAATTTGTAAATGCAGCAGTTAAGTCTGAGATGGCGGTGGTTTAGTTCTATTCTAACAACACTGTCCTATCATAAAACCACAAGCTTGATCAGAAAGCTGTAGATCTAACCTCATCCCCAAATGCCCAAGAAAAAGGAATTTGTAGCATGTATGGAAAGTTAATTGCAAGAAATGAAGCAGATGGCTTTAATTCTAGTAGTACTAATTAGTATCACTGCTGTGCAAATACCAATAAATCTTTCACTAAATATAGGTGTCCCCTCCATTACTAACAGGTCTAATATTTTGTAATATAAAGGTTTTAAACTGTAGAAAGAAACAACAGCAATAGCACTGGCCACTGTTAGGAGGATTCTTATATTGGAAAAGGTATTATATTTTGGGAGTAATGTTTGCTGCGTAAATGAAACCATTATGCAACCTGATCCATGCTATCTGCTGCTCCCTCAGTCATGCTGACTTAGTCTCAAGTTGTCCTAAGAGGAGGTTCTGCAAATGTGAGGATTTTGAAGAGTTGTACTATTTTGCAAAAAGGCTATAGTTTCTAGTGAAAACTTGCATTGCTTCTTAATACAGGAAATTAATTTAGAAGTACCAGAGTTGCATTTATTTAATGTTGAATGACTAAGCTCATACTGGAAAAGAATTATCATTAAGTTAGTGTGTGGGGGGGGTTGTTTTAAATTAGTTTCTAAATACATTATGTTATATCATCCTATTTTCAGGTGCCACTGTGCCGTTCAAACGTGATAAATGGTGCTCAATCACAAGGAAGCTCTTTAGTTTTTTTTTGTTTTCTTAACCTTAATCCTTCTGTTTATGACCTTATATCTGAGTTGGTGAAATACTCAAATCCTGCTGTAGAGAAAGCTTATTCTGAAGCAGTGACTCCAGAATCAGTTTAAAAAAAAAAATTCTTTTATTGTGGCTATGAGAACTAGAGAGATTAGTCCTGATTCTCAGATTCAAAACTGAGGCTGTGATCAGTGTTAGGCATGAGTACAGAGTCTCTTTATGCTTTGTAGTTGAGCTGTAGCTTGTTCAAACTGGGCCCTAAATACTGAGATTTTCACCTGGAAAATAAGAACACAACTAGCAAATACCTTAGAGCTTGGTTTTAAGTGACTCAGTGTTAAGCAGGAAAAAAAAATGTCTTTGCAGTCTTTATTTGTGTTTGAAGTCTGTCATCTGCACTGGATGAGGCAAGTTGCTAGTCATATATGGTTTGTGATCATGACGTTATAGAGATCATACATTCTAATGAATAAATACACAAGGGAGCCAAATTGAAACTGAATGAGTAACTCTGACATTTGCTGGGTTGATTTAGCAAACCTTAATGTTATGATGTAACTTCTAGATTTGGGGAAAAAAGCAAACTGGAAATTGCACCGATTGGTAAGAGTCTGAATTGTCAAGAACAACACAGACTCTCAGGCAGATCAGCTCCAGCCTCAGCTGGGAGGAGGTGCTGTTTGTTGCTGCCTACTTAACCAGAGGCCCATTCCAAATGGGTTGATTTAAGCTACTAGTGTGTGACAGAAGAGTAATGTGATAGTTCAGTCATTCGGAAGCAACACCTGAAATCAAACGGTTTAAGCTTAGAATGCCAACTGAGCGGTGTAAAGACTTTCACACGAGTAGATCCCTGTAGCCCTGTGATTTGCGCTTTGCCTTTCTCATACCTGAGAGATACGCCAGGCTCTGCCCCAATTTAAATATTATCAGCAGTGGGTAAGTAGGCTTGTAAGACCAAAGCTTTGGGCTGAAGCCTGCATCCAGCACATATTGTAGACATAGCTTCAGAAGACTTTACTGCTGGGCTTCACTGGTTGAGAACTGTGGATTCACGGTTTCTGCCCTTCTATCCTTCACCTTCTCATGTCTCTCCTTCACAAGTGTCCCTCAGGGGGTTTTTTCAGCCTAAGGCCTGAACTAGTTTAGGACATTAAGTTCACGACCTCGGACTTCCCCACCAGAAAGGCGTGGATGCAGTGGACAACTGCAGCAGCAAATGTGTGATAATTTTCACCTGGCACTAGGGTGAGATGTGAGCAGAGTGCTTCACAGATAGGAAATGCCTATTCAACTAACTGCATGCTGCTTGCGTACCCTCATATTAAGGGCAGCTGCAGCCCCAACCAACAGTAGGAGTGACAGGCACCCCAGATCTTTGTTCTCTGGGAGTCCAGTTGGTTCTCCTCTGAAGCCCAGATGACCCCTGCCAGGCCTTGGTACCCACCTAGTTGAAGGGTGTGCCTGGGCCCCCTGGCTAGGCCTGGAAGAGCTGTGAGGGCTCTTCGTTTTTGCAGGGGAATCTGAGAGTATGTCTGTGTTGTATGTGTGGGATGTGTGAATGTGGTTAGGCGTCATCTCCCTTGCCATAACCTCTTTCCCAAATAAACAATATTAGTTACCTGTGAATTGGCATGCCTTAAGCCTCCATTGTGTTACCTATGACAAGTGTGACTTTTCTATCTCTTCTCCATTGGAGCTCCTTTTCTTCATTGCTTTGCTCAGGTCTTAATATATTTCAGTAAGCTCACCATCCAAACCCTGCTTGCATATCTGCATGCCTGTCCTACTTTGCTTCCTCAAATCAGTTAGCTTTTTCCTCTGCCTGTTCCTGTTTGTCCTGCTGTGTTTCTTGACTCAGTTCACTTTTTTTCTTCTCCCAGGCCTGGATTGCTTCCTGTACTGTGTTGCCTGGTTGTGATACTAGCGGAGACCAGCCTCCTTCTGTTCCACGCTCCTTTTCTGTCCTAGCCTGAGGCAGCTATTCACATAACTTTTTTTCAGTCTTCTAACTTTGAGCTTTTTTTTTTAAAAAAAGTATGAATTATTGTTTCTTCATAAAACTTTAAAAGTATGGCCCTGTGTCCATGGTCCGGAAAGCCTGTTAATGCAGTTGGATTAACATAGGACATTAATAGGTCTTATAAAGATGAAGCCATGCTTTAGTTGGCTGTGGTTTAGTGTCAGAGATTTTCACGTATGGCTTAACTTGTGTCTTGACACAATGGAAAGACCTGATGAACTGAGTTCACGAAAGTGAATGGAAAAACAGCCTTACTAATGTCTTCAGACTAAGTCAAATCTAAAACTTTTCTGTTTTAATCTCTAATAATCTAAAACATCACAGCTGGATGATACAGCAACAAATCTGAAAGCAGTCTCTTGAGACAGGTAGTTTATGCATGTTAAAAGGAGTGAACATCTGAGACATCTTATTTTTAATGCTTCATCACGTCATACACAATTTCTTAATCAAAATATAAAAACAAAATGACAAAAAATTGTGCACAAAATGTTGTGATTATATTTGTGTTTAGATGTGATATTTCAAAATTTAAGGCTTAGGGTTTTTATTAGTTTAAGGTTTCTATAAATAGAGACAGCAGAATTGTGAGAATAAGATCTCATTTAAAAAAAAAAAAAACTCCTAGCCCTTCCCCCTCCAAGTCCTAAAACCATGTTTATTTCTGTTTCTGCTCTGGGAGAGGGTTAAACATGGAGGCAGTTTCCTCCTTTCCCCTCCCCTTTCCTGAGGGGGCGGGGAAAGGGAAGAGGGGGTCCTGATTTGTAGTGTACTAAAGGCAAATCAACGTACTAAAGTAAACTATTGTAACTATGTACTGACTAATTAAAATGGTGAATGGTTCTGTAGTGAATTATTGAAGAGCTTTTTCAAATATATTCCTTTTTTGAGAAAGTTGGAGGTGAAGTACTGAAGTTACGCTGTACGAGAAAGCCCTACTGACCTTGTTGCAATTGTAATGTTTTGATTGCTATGGAGATGATCTGCCACTATTTTGACTAGCTGCATCAACAGCAAGAAAGAGTACTTGGCTGTGTTATCCTCCTACTTGTTTTTTGGGTTTCATTTGGTTAAAAATGATTGGCTAAGCAATTGATTCTGTTATGAAGTGATTTCTTTTTCCTTCTATTTGAATAAGTCTGACCTTATAAAAATACTTTAACAAAACTGTGTTTTTTGTGTGTTTAACCTTAGCCTTGGACGACCTTGATAGAAGCAGGGGTAATCAGTAAGAAGGAGAGATAAAGGATACAAGTTATGGAAGATCAAAGGCAGGAGAGGGGAGGTTCTGGAAGGCTTATAAACTGTGGGGTTAACATGCCTCATACCCTAACTGTATTGTTGCTGAATCAAGAGATTTTTCTGTTTGTTTGTTTTGTCTTAATACAAATAGCCTGCTGGTCACGCACATTAAACTATAGTAATTGCAAGCCATCTCCTTAGCATGGCTTAGGTTTTGGGCGAGATTGCAGGTACTAGTTTTAATACATCACTTTCCATGACAAATTTGCAAACTGATATTCACTTCTACATATGTAGTATTTATGTTGATCCAGATTTATTAAACACACTACGATAACTTCTTGCTGAACCATACAAGTATATTAAACCATGTTCATTAGGTAAAACACTGACAAAAAAATCTAATGATGGTTTTACAGAGGTTTTGAGCTAGTAATTGACCACGCTGGCACTTTCTAAACCTGTTGTCAGTTTCTATACAAGTAAGTCTGTTGATGGGTTCAAGAAGCAACACCTGGTCTATTTTAAAATGGAAGTAATCTTAAAATGAAAATAACATGTTTTGGAATTCTCTTAATGAGTTTACTTCATCTAAAACAAAACCTGCCGCATTTCTTGAACTAAAAGTGGAGGTGGCATGAAAAGTCTCTTGTTAGGTTTCTGCAACTTTATCTGTTCCAGAGAAGTATACTCAGGCTCTGTTCTCCTGTAACTTTGTGTTCTAATGTGTGCAATACTACTAAGAATTTTTTTGTTGGTAAACATAAGTATCCTTAGTGTTTCACAGTGCATATATTAAATTTTAAAAAATGGGAGGGATAGCAAGAGGCACGCTTGATGTTTGTCACTAGATTAGCCCTGGGTTACTTCCTAATACGTTATCTTTAACTGTAGCTATTCTTTAAACAGACATTATTGTACAATTTCTTATTAGCAAGTTTTTGGTCTCACTTTTTCTTCCCTACCCTCATTCTTCTGAGTTGCAAAATATTTAAGGGAGCTAAAGCCCTAGTCCATTGAGATGGAGCTGTAAAAACAGTTACTTTAAAAAAAAATAATTGTGTTTAACTCTTGTTCTAATTGAACATAATCTAAGGACTAGACTTAGCTTGTTAAACATGGTAGAAAAATCAATATGCTGCTTCTATATTATAATATGATTTGTATAGCTTACCATCACTTTTGAAAGTGTAACTGAGCTGAGCAGAGAATTTGTTTTAATGTTCATAGAAGCATTATATTGTTGTAACTTCAGCAAACATTTACTTTAAAATCCATCTGAATAAGGTTTTTCTGTAGCTTATGCGCAGACAAAAATAGTCATTCACTTTGTAGACTTCTGAAATGTAAAATCCTAATGCAACTTTCCTCAGGTTCGTATGCTACGAGGTAGTTCTTATTGCCATTCGCTAAATGTCAGTTTTCAATTTTGTTAAAGCTTTAGTCAGGATTCAGAAAACAATTAAATATTTGGTATAGTAATATGGCTCATAAGGATTTAACCTTTACGTTTTGAGATTAAATGGAAGCAATGAAATGCAATATTGCTGTCATTTAAATGTTTTGGATATTTTTTTAAGGCAGAGTGTCACTTCCTTCCACACTTCTGGTACTAAATTCTCAGAACTAGACCGATTTCATCTAGTCATATGCTACAATGAAATCTATTCACTAAAACTATGTAACATGAAATGTAGTCCCATTAAATGGAACTAACTCTTGGCTAGCTAGCAGAATATGCTTTTTGCAACTTCAAGTAATGTTTCAGGTGAACTGTTGCCAACAGCTCCTCTTTAAGCAGTAGTCAACGAGTTATTATTGAAGTTCTGTCACTGTTGGAGACCTACTGTAATCTTGTTCCACCTATACATTAGGGGTGGAATTTCAGTTACAGAACACTAAAATGAAGAAATTAAGGAGAGGAAGGAAAGGAGAGATCTTCAGCTATTGTGATTAATTTTATCAGATTTTAATGCTTCAGATTTTAATGCTATATTAATTGAATGCTTCACTAACAATTACTTATACTCTGTATGTTTGTGTATACACAGAAGATGTTGCTGTTGGTCTCAAGATATGACCTCTTCCAATCAACAAAAAAATCTGTTTGAGGGATTATAGTCCCATTTAGATGTGCTCAGTTGCATTAATTCAACTCTCACTCCTTCTCCACCTATGGAAGAAGGGGGTGATAAGACAAGCTTGCACAATCAACTCTTTGAATAAACTCTTAGTTTATAAAGATTGTCACACCTTTTTGTTTGTCACGCCATTTCTAGGTGGTGTAGATATGTGTTATTTAACTCATAAAATGCCAATAAAATTGAACTCTTCGGGGGTTTTTCCTTCATGTATGGTGTCTCTGTCATCATCAAAGACTTGGGTGCTAAAGAGATTTAACAGGTAGGGTTATTTTTTTAATATTTTGGTTCAACTGCATTTTATAGGATATTTTCGCACAGCAGAATGTTTATGGTGAGAGTGCAGGGAGATATTCACTCTCTTAATACAGATCTAGTCAATCTTCTTGATTAAGGTACCACTACATTTTTCCTCCTATAACTTTAAGAATCTCTTTATAACAATTTTTTACTGACCTATTTTTCAGTTTCAGAAAAGTGACTTTTTCAAGTACATTCTTATCTCAGTAAATATGTTGTCTAATTTTTTTTTTGTTTTTTATTTGCTTCACAGTCTTTCAGTCTATCGAGAAAGAAAATAGTTTACTACACCAGTTTTGACCAGCGGAAACGAGCAAATGCAGCATTTTTAATAGGTGCATATGCCGTAAGTAACGTTTACACTTATATGGATACCTCTAACCTTCTGTAAGAGATGCTCATTTTGTTAAAGTAGCATCTGAGGGGATGCTCCTTTAGGGAGGTAGTCAGATTGTCATTTAATTCTTCTCTGAGCTATCTCTGAAAATGCCGATATACGAGTGTTAGGGAAGTCCTATCTTTGGCACTTAACCCCAGTTATGTTTCTTCATCAGATGAAAAAGTCTCTCAGACTTGCATGCGTTACCAAAACAAAGCACAAGAAACTACTTTCTTTCAAGAGACAGTTATTGTTTTTGTGATGAAGGGAAAAGGAAGTTTCAGTCATTCCATTCAGATCACTCTTTCTTTTCTGTTTGCATACTTGTATCTCCATTCTAAAAGTTGTATATTTATAAAGATCCCCTTCACGTTTTAAAGCTGGTCTAATTAAGCCTCTAGCTAGAGAACACTCACTTAGTACACATGTAGATTTAGAGCATCTGATTGCCTTCACTGGATTGCCCTTGTCTGATCCTGCCTTCACCTTCTGATACATCCTAGAAGCCCTGGAAGGAGTAGGGCACTGGCATTCTCTTTGTCTGATCCTTGTTATATGACTGTCTCAAGTAGCTGTCCTCTCTTGGATGGGGATTTAAAAGGACCTTATGGGTATTAGCTAGGCCCAAAGAGAGAGAGCTACTATTTATGAAAATAACTTCTTGCAAAGCCGAGTCCTCTTAGCAACAGAAAGGTAAGGCGATGTGTAAGATGCAAGACAAAACTCCAAGCAACAGACTGATCAGCTAAATAGAACTCCCAGTGAGTGTGTTATACAAAATGCACTAAAAATAGAGTTGTAATTCAGTTTCTAGTAAATTGTGCAGTATTTATGGTATCTTAAGACTAAAACATGGGCAGGGTCTCGTATATTTGGTAGTCCTTACTTGAATGAGCTGCTCAGCAGCCATAAGGGTACACACTAAGGGGGCGGGGCGGGGGGAGGAGTGCCTCTGAGGGCAACTAGGTGGGAACATGTAGTATGTATACCCTGATGTGACTGTGTATGTACTCTGTAACGTAAGAGGTGGCGCATTACACACTAAGAAAAGGTAGCTTATAGTAAGGTAAACCGCTGTATGACAACTGCGTGCACACTTAATCCTTGTTTAGCCAGTGCTAGTGTTGCTTATAGCTCTTAATTGCTAGCATGTGAGGCGGGGAATTATCTCGGCAGTTGATACAGTAACTCTCCTGGAGGAGCTGGTAGATGGTTTTAAAACCTTCTGATTATTAGAAGCTACTGATGCAGTAAAGAATTCTTTAATCAATGTTACCAATACTAAAAAGTATTAGCACACTTGTTGAGCATTCCTTATTTATATGCAACATCGTCATTTTCCGATTTATCTCAACTAAGTAAAACATTGAATAGTAGGTTAAGAGATAGAAACATATCCAATGTATTTCATATTTACCTCTATAGATGCTTATTCCTAAGCTTGCAAGTGTTATACATTCACATTCTTTTATAATAAATTGCAACAATGCAGGTAAATAATGTTTTTGAACAATACTTGTTATGAAATTATGAACTGCCTAGTATCTGGTTTTTTTGTTTGTTTGTGTTTTTTTGTCTTCTTTTTTTTTAAACTAACAGAGGCTTAGCTTCTGTAATCCAGACATACTCATTTCACACTTGGGAAATAATATTTTTATTTTATAATGTTCTGCCTGTAGCTGCTACGTTGTCAGATGTGACAGATGTACGTTGTTGGGTTATGTTACAGCGTAGTTTCTGATTTGATGGAGTCAAGTCATATTCTTTAGTAGAAGAACTGTGTGCAGTTGGCAGTTTGAGCTATTACACTTTGGAATATCCCCATCAGGACAGATATGTATGTACTCTTGGATTCAATGTCTTCTATGTTTTTGTCTCTTGTAGACTTTTTGAGACCAGAAAGTCTTACAGCTTTGAACTCCGCTCATGTGTGTAAAGATGGTTGAGAAGATTTGTTTAATTTGTCCTGATGCTAAAATATTAAGTGTAAAATGAAACGTGGAAAACAGTGGATCAGGTTCTAGGAATTGGTTTCCAGTGGCGATTATGCAACTTTAGATGTTTCCATTAAACAGCCTCTTAGACATGATGAACTGAAATATCCTAATTACAGTATCTTACTAAGAGTCATAAGTTTAAGAGAAAGCTAAGTCTTAAAACTTTATTTGCAACGACTTTTGCCTGTTTGTTAATTGCATCTCAGGAGAATGTATTTTCTAAATTCCAACTTTTACAACAGACTTTAAACACATTCAGGGTAATCATTTCCAGTTGCTAATTTAATCTCCCAGTTCTTAAGAATTCTGCAAGGATTGCTTTGTCTTTTAAAAAACCAGTTTAGGAAAAAGAAAACAAAGTGTCACAGGAACAGATGAACATAAAGATTTCCCTGATCTTACAGAGAAGTTATGGGGTGCTTGAAGTCTTGTATTCCTTCCTAAATTGTTGGGGCTACAATGCAGAATGTTCAGTGACGGTAAAATCTAGTAAAACCCCATTTATGACAAGTGTTACCAGATGCACAGAAAATATATTGAGGTTAGCATTGCTGTATTTTCCCCTTTGCCTATTCAGGGACTTAGTATAGGGGCATTTTTTTTCCATGTAGTCTTCTGCAATAGTTGATTATGAAAGTTACTCTTTAAATTGTTGTAAAATAGTATTCCAACAAATAGTTTCATGCATACCGAAATTAACGTAGCCTAGGTTGAATTGCTTGTCCCTAATAATTCTTGTCTTCTGGAGACGGAGAAGGGAAAAGAGTCGTTTAACTGAATAATACTGAAGTGACTACAGGAACTCCCCTCTTCATCAGAGAATCCATGCTTAGAAATCTCGAAGGACAGTGTATTTTATCATGTCTAACAACATGGATGAGTTGAAGGGTTCCCCATCTCCCTATTTCTGAGGCATTTGTTAGTTTCGTTCTTGGCTGGGAACAGGGGCACTCCTTCCTGGTTGTGCTCCTTGCTGTCAGGGTTGATCTCCCTGGGGGAGGAGGGCAGGCCAAGTGCTAGTCAGTTTGTGCCAGCAGCTGTTTGTACTTCTAGCAGAACCAAGGAGAGAAAAAGAGAACAAACATGCTTTCATATGACTTTTACTCCAACTAATAAGCCTAGAGCTTTAATTCTGTCCCATCATAGAAGACGTGTAACAGGTATCTATTCTGTTCTTCAAAGATCACAAGTTGATTTGTGGACCAAAATCTGACTCTTCAGTAGCTCTAGTGAAGCATAATACTTTAATGCTATGATAAACTCCAGAAAGAGATCCAGTGAACTCTTTTCCTTGCAGATAGCAAATGGGTTGGTCATATTCCTTTCCAGTGCTAATGTAATTGCAAGTGTGCATTTTTGTACTAAGAGCTTTTTATTAGACTCTTTAATGCTAATAAAAAGGAAAAGCTGTCAAGTTTTTAAGTTAGTAAGTTTTATCAGATAAAATGATTGGCTAATAGTGAACTATTATGGCATGTTCAATCATTTGTGTGCACGAATAGCTTTCCTATTTAAATTTAATAGAATTTAAAACCATAAAGTAGACTTCTCAGCCCCTACTTGCAGCTTTAAGGGTTTGTTCTCTCTTAATCTAAGCATGTCACGCTACTTGGATCAGGAGTCATTCCCTTGGAGGATCAGCAAGTACAAAAGCTTTTCAGTTACTGCAGCAGATACAGTCTCTTTGCTGTTTAAAGCAACATCTTTCTTCAGGTTGTTCTAGAGTCGCTTCACAGCATTCTTGTGATAACAAATCCATTCCATAACTAAGGTCCATGTAATTTTAATGAGAAAATGGAAGGCAGGGGTGGGAACAAGGCAAAAAGCAATGAAATGCTTGAAATGTTGTGGGCGAGTGTTCAGGCAGACTTGCAAAATACTGACTTCCCTTTTTCTTCTCTAAACTTTTCAGAATGTGTGGTATGCATTTTCTTGGCTTTGTGTGTATGTTGCTACATGTTATGTGCCTACATAGTGTGTCAGCCATGGAGAGCTTTATCCTGCAGTCAGATCACTATTCAGGAAGTTGAGAACATAAAAATGGGAATGCCAGAGCAAATATATTTTAACTTGCAGTATTTGATGCATCTGTTTTCACAGGTAGCAGGCCACATGGTGTATGTTACAGTAGTGGCAGTGGGGGAAGAGGGGAAAACCCTACCTACTGTAAAATGACTCTTGTAAGAGAATACTTGCTATCTAGAAAGTGGTGCTGTTTTGTTTTTTTTTTTAAAAGAAAAAGCTTTTACTCACTTCTATTGTTTCAGATATGTTCAGTTACATGAGAGATTTGGTACAGGTTTGTGGGGTTTTTAACAATGTTGAATGAAAGCATTCTGAATGAAAGCATTCTGAAGATTAAAGATATTAGATTCAAAAAAGAGGCTACACTTTCATTGATAAGATGAGTCAGAAAACTGACTGCTTTTTTCTTAATGGATTCACTTCTCTTCAAGTACTAAAGTAGGCATGTACTGTAGTGTTTCCTTCTTTAGATGATCCTTCCTCCTTCAGTTTTTAAATTATTCTCGACCTCTGCAATGTTTTGTTTTCCAATAACTTTTTCAATGTTTCTTTATTCTCTCCCTGCCTTTTGTGTTCTTAACATCTTCAATCCTGTTTTCATTCTGGTGTCCATTATGATCTTTGTAGTTGGACAACAAGCAGTGTTTAGTTCAAAATTTCATGTGTTAAAGTTCATGTATTAGTGTCTTTGGGCAGAGGTCTTTGAGTTGCAGCAGTTTTTCTGTGAAACTGAAACTGCTGCAGTGGGAAACGTTCATCTGTATGATTTGCCTGACATTGTCTATGTAGGTGACTCCTATGAGATTCCTTACTATGTAGTTGTTTGAGTTGGAAGCTCATCTCTCTCCTTTAAGTTCTCTGAACTGCCCTCTAAGGCTCTTTTGAGCCTGTAAGCAGTAATTTGGGCTTTAAGTAGCTAAATGACCTAAATGTTAATATTAATCAACTTGAATAAAATCATTTTTCTCTTACCCTTTCCCCCATCATTTGAGAAGTCTTTTGCAAACGATATGCAGTCTTCTAAACCTGAAGCACTTGTGGCTTTCTTCATAGGCTAAAAGAATCTTTAACAAAGGTCTATGAAAGCAGAGTAACATCCCTGCTCTGCAAGGGTTGAAAGCGTGAAGCTAATGCCATTAGTTAGCAGTCATTGCTGAAGGAAGACTTTACAGCTTAAAAATAAAAAGTGGGCTCCTCCACTTCTTGAAGTAAGTAAATACATATAGCCATAAGAAAATCTCTGGATCTATTTAAATACTAGTAATGACTGGTTTGAACCCCACCATCAAAGAATACAGTAATTGAGTTAAACAAAAACATTTCCTCTAATAATACAAAATAAGTGGAATGATTATCATACAGAAGTTGTCCATTTTGATGGTGGAAAGGATGCATTGCTTTCAGAGGCTGGGGAAATATGGATGCTCAGACAAATAGAGAAGCATTAGTTTGAGAAATTTAATTTGAGTACTCTTGCTATAAGAAACAGTAATATTGACATATTGCAATATTCAGATATAGCATTTGAAGATGAGCAATAGTACTTTTTTGTTGGTATTTATTATGTTGTTTCATGTTCTTGTGACTATGGTAACTATAGTTGTTGGAGACTGAGACTGAAATGCAGTTCCCTATCATAGAATTGACCTTCTGAAGGTGATTCAGTATTTATAGAGCATTTTGGCCCTAACTTAGGCCAGTTGTTCAAAGCAGTGAAACTGGTGATCGTTGGGAAATGGGTGAGGGCATGGACCCTCTTTTCCTTGCAACAAAAGAAAGAGCCTTTCAGATAGTTTTATAACTTTAGTCAAACTTTTTTTGTTTTCTTGTCTTTCTGTCTACCTTGTCCATGTTTGAGGAAGAAATGCAAGAAATTCTACCTACCATTTTCTGGTATCTTACAGAATAGTAAGAATTCATTAACTTGAGATTATGACTGTAGATATAAAAAGGCAAATTGCAAATACCTGGGCAGTAACCACCACTTACCTGTGTTCTAATGTACTTGAGATCAAAAGGTGAATAATAAAGCTTTTGGATTGGGAAATAACCTATTTTTTGATTTAGAAAATAACTACTAGAATGCCTCTTATTCGACACTTAAAATACATAGTCCTGAAAAGTAGAGACAAAGTTGTTGGTTTTAAGGTGAGTTGGAGAGAAATGGATAGGAAATCTGTGGCTTTGTTCACAGCATGTTTATGCACGTGAAATGTTTCACTCCAAACTGGATGAAGCCTTTATTTATAAATGCTTGTTTAATATTAGCTTGTATTCAAAGTTAGATATCTTTTAGGATCAGTTTTCCTATACAAATAGGAATTGAAATACAGCAATTGCATGTTGTAAAAAACAGTTGCAGTGCTCTAATTTCTTACTCAATATGAAGTCAGTGCAAGTGATGGTGTTCAGTGATACTAGAATAAGCCTTGGCTTAGGTTGTTACCTTAACTGTCGGTAGGTCTCATATAGTAACAGATTCAGCTTGTTGAACCTTGTTGAATTGGCCATCGTTGATTGTTAATAACTGGTTTGATCTTGATAAATAAGAATCAGAAAATATTTGTGTTAAAAAAGCTTCCATTGAGTTGTGGTGGTGAAATATTTCCTGTGTCAGCTGCTTTGATAGTACTACTTATGAATCAATCTAAAGTTGAACAGAGACCTCCTAATATAGATTAATTTTTTTTTAAACAACAACAACAACAAAAACACATACGCCAGGCCACAACTGGGAAACACTAAGACAGACTCAAAACCACACAAAGATGAAAAACAATTTGGCTGATATCTGACATTTTTACTTCATGTGTATGTGTATTTTCTGTCCTATAAATGGCATAAAAGTTTGTCATAGAGGAGTATATTATGCATTCTTAGAGTGTAGTGGTGGCAGGCACATGGGTAATGATTTTCAGGCTCAGGGCTGATGTTTTGTTTTGTCTGTCTTCTCTCCCCCCCTCCCTTTTTCTTCAGGTGATATACTTGAAGAAAACACCAGAAGAAGCTTACAGGACACTTTTATCTGGATCTAATCCACCATATCTTCCGTTTAGGTATGTGGCGAAGTGAAATGAGCTTAAATGTTGTGTTTTCGAATTTGTTGTATATTAAAATGTTTTAGATCCCTCTCCCTTTCCAGAAAATGTTTTGATGTCCGATACAGACAATTTATCAAAATGACTAGTTCTCAAAACCTTCATTTTCAACTTTGGGTGAAATTACTTGCTCAGTGATGGAATAATAAAGCCATTTTGATTTCACTTGTAAGTTAGACTGCCAGTCTCACAAACTTTCTAGTTTAGAAAATTGATGTTAGCATGTTTGACTTAGCAATTAAAATCTTCCTTTATGATGTATCCTGTTTTACTATTTGGAAGTCATTCTTAAACTTTCATATTAGCTACGAGCTGAACAGCTAGACTTAGATGAACAAAAGGTTTTTGGGGCTGTTGAATTTTCTCCATTTTAGAAAGAGTACTGAAGTTCAGGTTGTTAAAGTTGCTTTGCCTTTCTCTCTTCAATAAATAATAGAAAATTTCTATCTATACTGCCTGTGGTGTAGGTGTGTTGTGACTTGCATCTAAGGAGTTTTAACTGTCATGTCTATCTAAAGAGACTTTCAGATTTCTTTTACTTCATGATATGGACCATGAAATGTCCTTCTGCTTTATGAACCAAAATACCTCACACTTCTCTTACAAGATGTGTTTGCCTAAAGCAACTGTCGGTAAGATCGTCTTTTCCAGGAAAGTCAGGATTTTAAAAGTAGTGTTTGATGTTACAAAAAGTACGTTTTTGTAACATAGACCTACCTTGTTTATAGCAAAAGCCTCATCTGATTCTACAGCCACTCAACAAAGGAAGACGAAATTTCCTCTCCTCTCCTGGCTTGCATAGGAGTCAGGTAGTATATGAACTGTTGAGATGATAGATGTGTATGTGAAGACCAGTTTGACTAAAATCTTAAGCTAGTGATGAACACACTTGAGGGGTGTGCGTGGTGGGGGAAAGCATCAAATTAGTGATGGCCTTTTTCAGCAGAGAGTTTATACATTGACCCTATCTGAGGGGGCAGGGAGTGGTGAAACCAGTTGGCTCCCTGACTTCTTGTGAGGCTGATAAGACCACAACAACACATTTAATGATCAGGGAAAAACTTATTTTTAAGTGTTAAATAATTATTCAAAGCAAAAAGCAAATCCTCTGAGTCTGAATTCACAAAACTTTATTCTAAGAGGGGAAAAAAAAAAAAAAAGCATTCTGTGTTATGCAAAGGAGAGAATACTAACCGAAAACGTTGAGGAAGACAATGATCGGCAGCAGATCTACTTGATTTTTTGCAGTCTGGATTGTCAAAACGAATACAAAAGTGCATTCTTCGTTCAGTTTGTCAACGTCGGGGAGGAGGGCAATAGATGTGTGCAAAGTAGGTAGTCTTCTGATACAGAAAGCTCTTTTGCGTTCTCTGTCTGTGTTTTCCAAGCTGCAGGTTGCTGGCAGATCAGTTGATGGTGTCAGATTTCTTTAAAGCAATGAATATTATCCATAGCCATGAACCTGTTCTCCTACCTCGTCTGCCCAAGGTGCTCTTGTACCCATCCATGAGAATTCATGAATTTTGTAAAGAAAAGTTTCCAGGTTTCCAATTCTACTGCACATCTTTGTGTGTTAAAATCTTGAATTTTAGAATATCATACCTGACTGAGGACAGAGGTGGTCCTTCGTTTATTCTGGACAAGAAAAAAGGATTTAGTTAAGAACTAACATGGAAAACAAAGCAGGTGCTGCATGTGAAAAGGTGTTTCCTAAACAAAATGAGTATGTGTAAACGGAATAAAAATCTTTTTTCACATGCATCATCCAACTTGATATGAAAATGTTTAGAACTCTTACAGTAATACAAAATTTAATTGTGCATAAACCAAAACCAGAAGGAATGAGAGGCACATCAGTACAGTAAGTGAAAACTTTCTAAGCAAGCCATGTCAAGTGTTTACAACAGAGTAATCGCTAGAATTGATAGGTATACTTTCATAGACTTACAGATTTACCCTGCACTGTACTGGCAAAAAGGCTCTCTGAGCAGTAATCTCCTATCAGTGTGTTGCTTCTAATACATGTCTAATGCCCATGTCCTTGTCTCAAGCTTTTGAATTGTGTTCATTTTGGCAAATGTTGGCTAATTAGGACGTTAGTGTCCTAATAGGCATTGCCGCTGGCAGAACGAGGTGTCGAATGTGCCATGTTCAGATGAGATCTGCATCCTAACTTAAACTGCTTGTTAAAGTAGCAATCATTCTCTTCACTTGACTCTTCTGCAGGCAGGAAGGGCGTGTTCTCATTTCCACTGCTGCTGCTAAGCTTGCTAGAAATCATTTGTCAGGACTGTGACTTTTTGCAGTGTTATTTTATTTCATCTCAAGCATGCTTGAATGAAGTAGTGTACTCTAGAATGTAAAGAAGTTAACCATAAGATCTGCTTTGAGACAACCCTTACAACTTGAAATACTGATGCACCTTGAAATATTTATGTAAAGGCTATATTAGTAAACAATTTATTGGTAAATCACTTATTCTTTAGACTTTAAGACTAATGTATATATGGTTTTGAGGGGCTTAATTTCACTTTTCGTGTCCTGTATCCAGTTGCCTGTTTTCATATCCTAAAATCACATTGGCTAAAACATCTGCTTTTTTAGGAGGTTGTGGTTCGTGGGGTGGGTAGAGGTTTGTGTTTTGTTTCGGGAAGGGGAGTGCATCATCATTTTCTGTCTTTCATTCTTATTTGACATGGGACTGGGAAATGTTTCTTAAGCTTCTTTTGGAGCTGCTTTGGACTGTGTCAGATCTTGGCACTGGGTTAGAGACTAACCACGCTTTTACCTGGGGTGTAGCTTGTCCTGCTGGGAAAGAAAGTTGTCTAATCTAGCTGTACAGGAGGTGAAACAAAGAGGAGTGAGGAAATAAGACTGAAAGAGTCTGACATGATAGGAGGTTAGTTAAGAAATGAGGAATCTGATAGGGAGGGGATATTGGGAGTTGAATTTGTAGGGAGAGGCTGGAAATAGCTACCTAAGGAGCTTAGGAATTAGTGGGGTGAGAGAAGGGCAAGTAGATCTGATGAGGGCCTACAGTGGGAGAATTAGCTGGGGATGAGGAAGAAATAATTCATTCTTCCTTATCTGGTTCTCCAAGACCCTTGATTGAGATAACTTTCTCCCCTGTCCATTCTAAGACATTTTAGATATACCTGCTGCAAAACGGAGCATGATACAGAGGCAAGCAAACTGAGTCTGTGATGTCACTGGAACTAGAGGTCTCTTGTCACAGCAGTGCTGTGCGCTATACTGTTTTTGGGCCCAAGGACCGTATCTCCTTGGCCTCAAGCTATACTGTGAGGAAACAAGCTGGTGCTAGGAGAAAGTTCGTATTCCGACTAAAATGATTCTTGTATACAATGAAAAAATATAATCCAAATGTCTTGCCCCTTCCCTCTTACTTTAAGGTCTAGGAAGGAGATAATTTGGGATATTGTTGGTATTCGGTACTTTTTGACTTGAATTGATTCCCCTCCACACACTTTTTTGAGCCTAGAACTTGAACATTATATGACTTTCCTGGTATAAATAATCTCTGCTTAAACAACAATGTAACGTAGAGTAATTTAAAGTCGAGTAAAGTAAATGTAAAAGTTTATCAGTATGTAATGATCAAAGGTTCACTGTTGCAACTAGAGTATTTAGAAAGTTTGTTAATTTGATATCTGAAGTCTCTCTTGTTTGGGAGGGGGAAGGTAGACTTTAATAGGTACAAGTTGCAGGATTGTCAAGTTTTTTTTTTTTTTATGGGACACTGAGGTATGTTTACATGAAGCTATCGCTAGGAAACTGATCTAGTTTTATCTAGCTCAGTGACCTCAAAAGGCTTTAATCGGCTTAGATCTTCAGCTGTATTTTGTTTAAAGACTGCTTCAATAAATACTGTTCAGGGATGGATGGAAATTAGAATACTCCCCTTACTAGATATGTGAAAGATGGGGGGTTGGGTCTTCTATGTCGCTTTTTTTTTCTTTTGTATAATGGAAAATATGTAGACAAAGCAAGGGGGTGGTAAGACATTACTGCCTCTGAGACACTGCCATCTTATTTTGGGGTGATTCAGTTTCCTTGTAATGGGACCATCTAGTCTCTTGAAGAACTTGTACTGTATCTTCTTAATTCCACATAATAAATCAGCACTAACACCCGTTTAAACCTTTGTAAATACCCGTTTTCCATTTTAAAACTAAGTTTTAGATTTTTCACCTCAAACTATTTTGTATTGACTTGATATTAAAGAGATAAAGGTACTTTAGTATTATAGTGTTCAATCTAAATATGACAGATTTCAGAGCTAGATTTTAGTATTTGTTTTGAGTTTTGTTGTCTTACTGCAAAAGCTGGGGAAACAAGCTATTTTGTTTTTGAAAGTGTTGAGAGGGAAAGCCTTATGCAGTATTCGGGTCAGCTACAATAATTGTGAAATCTGATGTGGGATTTGCAAGTCTGTAATACCAACTCAGATTCATACTCTTATCTGTAGCTCACATTTTTCTCTATTTGGAAACCAAATGCAGAGTACTGTCAAGTAGCAGTTGGTTTAAAAAAAAAAAAAAAAAAACTATTTAAAAACCAAGATGATAAAGCATTTGGCCATTATAAGACTAAAAGAATACCGTAATGAAATACGTGTGGTCAGTAACAGAAATCGCAGCAGCCACACTATAAAGCTCTGCAGGAGATGTCTGTGTGTGCTCTGTTCCATTATTTCGATATCAAATGAGGCAGCCTTTCTTTTCTTGGCCTTTAGCGTAGACTTCTGAGTTAAACAAAAAGGTAGGACACTTAAATCCAAATAGCTGTGATTCTGTCGCTAAAAACACACACCTAAGTTTTTGTGCCTGCATAAATAGTCCCAGTAAGTTCAAAATGACTAATCTCTTAAACCTAAGCACATACATAAATTTTGTAGGATGGAATGCTGACTGTGTACAGTGGTTGGGGAAAAGAATAAGCTTACATAGGAAGAATGTCTGAGTTTAATCTTAGTTTCACCCAAAATGCTGTTTCTCTGAGGCTAGTGGAGATGTCTTTTCCTTACAGGGCCCTTTCTCATTAACTACTAGTGCTTGTGTGATTCAATATCTTTGGTTTTATTGTTGTACAAAATGTGATCCACTTGGAATTTCTTGCATGTTATCCAAGCTAAAAATTAATCATCTTAAGTGTTATTTATTAATTATTGTACCAAAATGCTAAAATAGCAATCTTGAGGAGCAAGGAAATGCATGCTAATGGCTCTGGTACTAGCTAATTGACTCCTCAAGTCACTTTGGCATGCAAATAGCTGTATTTCTAACAGAATTTTTGTACAGGTTAGTACTAGTTCTGACAGTAGCCAGTATTTTTTTAGTGTATGATCTAGAAAGTAGCAAGAGAACAGTAGGAAGAAAGGTTAATATAAAACATGGTGAAGTAGGGCCAGCTGTTCTGTGTTAATTTTTTTCTAGCAAATACATTAAGTTCAGGATTCAGAAAATAAGATTGATTTTATTTTTAAATATTTAACAAAGTTTCTTAGTGATTTGACATGACTTCTGACTGCAAGTCACATGTAGTATTTTAGATAGTATGAAAAGTGAAAGTTTCTCTGGGCCACTCAACTCAGCATAGGCATTCATCCTCATTCTGGAGAAAGTTGTGTCTTTTAGGCATTTTGGTTTTTTCTTTGGGTTTTTGTATTTACCAAAGAATCAGAATAGTTACTGACTTATTTCCTTTTAAAGAAAAATATTTATCTAAGATATTTTACCCAAGTAATTTATCTAATAAATTATAGGAAGTTCTTTCAAGAGAAACCTTTAACCTGTGCCTGTTGAGTATTCCAGGGCCTTTTTAGACATGAGATTGTGCGTAAGACTGACGTTAAGCATCTGTCCTCTGAGTAGCACTTCTGTGAAGTGATGTTTGACTGCAGTCTGAAGGAATATTGATACTTATTTTTGGAATCGTAATTTATGAAATAATCTATTTGACAGGAAGATTGAGTATAGAAAATTTCACTTCAAAAGTATACTACTACTTTGTAAGCACGTTTTTAAGTTGTTTTAATATTTTTAAAGGTTGTGTAAAGTAGGTTATGTATATTTAAAATTTCTTCCTGTAACTTCTGCGCTATACTGCAGTTCTGTTGCTTGATGTGTGTTCTGAAAACTGGTAGCTTGGGTTTTGTCTTCAAATATTGGTTCCACAAGTGCTTGCCTGATCTGTACTTAATTCTCCCTGAATTTTGACTGTTGGTGCATACATGGGAGGAATAAAAGATGCTTTCTAGTGTGCTTTCTAGCTGACGAGCAAGTTTAGAGGCTTGATATAGATTCTTGGACAGGCACAAAGGTGAATTAGGTGATGCACAGAGTGATGGGATTAAGACACGCTTACTTTCAGAGCTGAATTTTCTTTGTTTTAAGTTAAGCATTAGTCAGTTACTGGAGATGGTTCTATCTAAAATGGAGTGTCTAGATTACTATGGTCAAATTCTTTTTTTTGCCCTAGAAATAACTAATATTAACACATTTTTTTAAAAAAGATGCTTTTATAGTGTTAATTCATGTAAACTGTGTTTGTAAACAGCTTTTAAACTGAAAAGTGGCAAAACTTTTCTCATACTTTAGCAAAAAGTATCTTAGTTTGACGGAGAGAAAGAACGAGAAAGATGCTGTTACTATTAGCATGTAATGTAGCGATCAGGATGTGTGCTGTTTAAGATTACCCTGGGGATGCCTTTCTACAATGTGAATTGATAACGGCATGTGGAGTCCTAGTTGATTATACATGCAACTTCTGCCAGAATAATTTTCTTTCTTTCTTTTTTTTTACACCTACGACTTAATCCCTGGAGATAGTTTACTTCAAAAGTCCAAAGTAGAAAACAGTAAAGTTTCAGAAAGGGATTTGCAGCTGGAATTGATTCTAAGCAGGTAACTGAATTTTTGGAAACCAAAAAACATTCTTCCTGAGAAAGAATTGGTAACTCTAAAAACGGAATGCCTGTGAAGAAGCTTAAAAACTTGCAGAGTTGGTTATTTGTGTTTAAAGCATTAAGTTATATTTAGGCACAGCTTCCAGGAATTCTATTGTTACTATGTTGTACTGTTATTCATATGAAATGTGACAACTTTGTCACATTTTATCACAAAAGATACATGGGGATATGAATTCAGTTGTCCATGTAGTGTGTAGTATTTAAAAAAAAAAAAAAAAAGCCTTATAGAATACTGCTATTTGAATTTACGGGAATTTGGGATTAGGTTTCAGCAGTCATATTTGTTCATCCAAAGCTCTACCTCTTTGGAATTTTCCGGACTCTTGTTTTTTGTTGTTTTACTGCATGTGGATGACATGCATTAGCAGAGCTATTTCCTGCAGTTAGAGAACACCCACCTTAATGGCTAGGTGTGCAGCAATGGAAATAAGACATTTGAGGCTTGATGCAGTAGATGTGAGTTGCCATCATCCATGCGCACTCACTGAGCAGGAGCAGGAACCTAGGATCTATGAAAGGATTGCTGAATGATACTTGTTTCATGGTGCTACTCTGACTGGTAATAGCTGTGAGAATTTTAACTAAGAAAACATATACCCGAAAATGTGATAGGCTTATCTTGTGCCTCTCCTCCAAATTCTGTGTTGTCCCTCCCTTAGAGCACTTCTTATTGTTGTTTTAGGGATTGCATGGCATTTTCTTTTCTTTCTAGTATTGTTTTATATACTGTAGTATCAGATACTTTATCAATTGAAGGAGCAGCTATATTCATATGAACAAAATCAAAATTGTTATTTTGATGAATCAAAATAACAACATGTAATACAGAATGTCTGCTACCATCATACCTTCCCTCTGTATTTCTGTAAATATTTAATTTCCTGATTTGCATTGTTTAATGCTTTATTTTGTTTTGTTACTTCTATCAGCCCTCTCATAAAACTGTTACAGCTTTTAAAGATTTTCTGTTAAGCACATATTCCCATGTGGTCTTGAAGATTTTTGTTCAGAAGACATTTTTCTTTACTAGAATTGTTTAGCACCACAATGATTTGTCATCACATTTTCTCCTGTCAAAAAATGTATTATGTTAAGGTAATATTCTACAGCTTTAAGTTCTGTTTATTTAATGAAAAAACTTGATAACTTCACATTTTGGAGCCTTCTTGTTACGTTTGGATTTCTGAAAATGTATTCACATTTTAAAATTTCCACTTTATAATATTGTGGATAAGTTGTGGTGGTGTGGGTGGGTGATTCTCTCGCGCGCGCTCTTTCTCTGTCTCTTTTTTTTTTTTTTTTTAAATAATGTACAGCTTTGTTTAATAAGGAACAGCAAATGTGTTCTGGAGTGGCTTGCCCATAATATGACACTGCCAAATTTGTAGCCTTTAACTTTTTATATTAAATCAATTTTCTAGGAACACTGGTTAATTCAAAATGACTCTGTGTTCTACTCTTTAAAAATTGAGACTACTCTACTCTTAAAGGACTTCAGAATGAGTGAAACTTACAGTACTGACATTTATGCTACATATGGCTAGTAGGCTCTCCAGAAGCAGAAGTTGTAAATGTAAGATTGAAATTTTGAATTGATTGTGGATTATTGATATATCTGACTTACCCTAAAATTTTTGTGCAGTTCTGATAAACTGGTACAGAACTGATAAACTGCAGTTCTTAACATTCTGCATAAGATGGTTTAGTGCAGAATTATAACCGATTTCGTCAGTGAGTGATTAGAAAACAATCTGCTCAGGCAGAATTTTGTTAATGCAAGTTGGCCTGAAGCAGTGTTGTTTGTTAAAACTACTTTTTAACTTTTCCACAAAACATTTGCTGTGTAAACAATTTAATTTGGTGTCTCATACTACTTGAATGTGTCTTGCTTTTGTGCATCCTGTCATCTTTTAAAGAGAATTTATATTATTTCCATAGTGGCAAAACTGAGGTCAAAATAACTCTCAATTTCATTATATCTGGTTAATTTTTAACCACATCTGCAGTCAGGCATTGAAGTGAAAGCCTGTAAGTGAAAGTCAAATGAGTGAGCTGCTCACCTTTACTATTAGACAGTATAACACAATTAAAACATGATAATAGTTAAGGAATTTTTGCTGCTTCACTATTCTTGCACAGCTGAAAATGCAAAGCTCCCTGTTCCAGGAGATGATAATTTGGTACAAAGCTGTGCTGTCAGCTAGGGTAGAAACATGCACTTAAAATAATTTGCAGTATCTAATTACACTTGCAGTGAGTTGCATCCTCTCTAGCGTAGTGCTTTAGCATAGTCAAGAGTGTCAAGAGATGTCATCTTTGAACTTTGATTTGGAGTTCTCAGATGGGATTGAATAATTTTAAGAATGTATTCTATTGTGTGCTTCCTTTCCCTTACTACTTAAAATAATTTTATGTATGTTAAATTCATTTGTATTAAATTTATAGGGATGCTTCATTTGGGAACTGCACGTACAATCTCACGATCTTGGACTGTTTACAGGGAATAAATAAGGTAATAACACTTTTCCATAGCCAAACAGGTTTAAATTGACTGTAACAAAAAAATAATAATAATAATTATAATAATAATGAAGCAAAATACTCTTAAATACATACAAAAACTTGGTTTCAAAGCAGAGTGTATGTGAATGAATAGTATGCTGTCATGAAGCCTAAGTTATTGAGGACTGTGTTTGAGTAGTGAAGTGGAAGAAGGTTGCATTTTACCTAGCTGGCATGGTCTGCTTCAGATTTCTGAAGCTCACCTGATGTATTAGAATGTGCAAATGTACCTGGGTGGAGTAGTGCAAGATAATGCATTAGATCTGCTAATAACTAGTTTTGAAACATTGGTGAAGTGGGGGGCAACATAGGTTGATGCCTTTTGGTGTCCATCTCACTTAAAGTTATTGTGATTTAATTGGAGCGCTGTTTTTATGCAGTTTTTGCCCATACTTGGCTCCATCTGGTTAGGTGTTTGACACGCTAACCTTTTCAGAACTGTTTAAAAAGAATGGAAGCGAACATAATCTTACCTAGTGTTCTGGTATATAACCTTATCAAGCAAGCTGACTGCTGCTGAAAGCACTGCATTCCATCTATGTTGTGGTTTCCAAATATGTTTGTTACCCAATGTGGAAAATCCTAAACTTACTGAAGAAGTTTGTTTAAAAAGGTTAATTTAGATTGCTAAATATATTCCATCATGATGGTGGTCCTGGGTAAAATTAAGTTACAGTTTTGCTTTTTTAAATCTTATGGCCCATCTTCAGAATTGGCAACTGTGTATTTTAGTATGTATGTCATACTGTAAGCAAGGATCAGATTTTGTTCATCCAATCTCCATTAATATAACCTTCCCCCTTCATCAAGATCTCTAGGTTCTGTACAGGCAGATCCTTTAAAGACCTTTTATAATTCTTAAGAATATGATAAAACAAATGTTTCTTAAAAATTGAAAGAGAGCAGTTTAGGCTTAATATTTTTAGTTCCATGTGGGTGGGAAAGGAGCTACCAGTTAACAGTACAACTATTAACTTGTGAGGCGTTTTACAGATCCTAAAGCTCTTTGAAGCAGTCCATGAAGTTACAGTAATTTATTTGCAACGAACATGTGCAAAGGACTTTGCGAATCATGTTTCTTCCTCATAGTTCCCATAAAATTTATTACTGGATTTTTGTCCAGTTCACCTGCAGAAGTAGAAGCACTTCCAGTAGAAACTGTCCCTTACCCTAAAGTAAAATCTTGGGTTATCTGGATAAATTTGGTATGTATGTGCATATGTCATCATATATGCATATGGCCTACAAATTCTGAAGTGTGGCCAGCCAGCCATTTTTAAATGAAATAAATTTTATAAATCTGCTTTTCAAACAAACAGCTCAGTATCCTAGATTTTTGTGACCAGTCCAATAATTAAGCCTGTGTTTATATAAAAAGAAACTTTTTTAAAGCCAAAACAAAGTGCAGATTATTAATGTTTTAATAGATGTGTGGACTGTTTTTAACACATGTACAGTGTTATGCGGTATCTGTACTTCTCGGAATGCAGTAGATTCAGTATAAATATATGCTGCAAACACTTATTCCACCTATTCCACCTATTCCATAGAAGAAACTTGTGCTATTGATACCTTATTCACAAAATTTAGTTTTCGAAAGGGTATTATTCATAAATATTTAGTATAAAATTGATGTGTAATAGTACAGTAATTAGGTACAACATAATTTCTTTCAGCGCTGTAGTAAATCTTGTTCAACCCAGTTTCGTTCTATCAGCAAATTGTGTTGGAAAGTATTAACACGAAATTACAAAATAAGTTATACATAGTGCTGTAATTCTTTATGTATCGTTTTGCCTGGATATCATGAAGATAAAATCTGAACATCATATTTCAATATATAACATTAAAACTCATAGTACTGTTTTATGCCCAACTGCATGAAAATGTATTCATCTTTTTAAAGAAAAAGAAAAGATTGAATGAGTATACAACAGAAAGGGAATGGCTTTTAACTTTTATAACCTGCCTTACAGAAAATACATCCATACTGGGGAGGGGAGAGTCAATCTTATGTAATAAGCAACAAAAGCTTATACCCCATCATAACATCTTTATGAAGGGGGAATAATGAAACCAAGATGCTTTATTGCCGTTGTCTTAGTCTTTTGTTGTCCGTGGTGTTAATCTGTGTAAAACTTAATGTTGTCTTAATGTAGAGACTTTAACAAGCCACAAGCACAAGCCTGTCGTGATATAATTTTGATTCTCAAGAACAATATTATAAAATGGGATAACATATCGTACCTAAAAATAAACTGACGCCTTGTTGCCTTTTAGGCCTTGCAGCATGGATTTTTTGACTTTAAGACATTTGATGTGGATGAGTATGAACACTATGAGGTTTGTACATCTAATACTGAGTTAAATATGTTTCGTTTGCCTAAAATGAGTTAGAATATCCAGTATTTCACAACCTAAAACCTACTGGAAAAGCACTGTAATTCAAGTAAAACCCAGTGTTCATATGTAAGATATGCATGCAAAACCCCATTTTTTAACTTGGTTAGATATTCACTGGAAACTTTATTAAGATCCAGAGCTGTATGTTGTATATCAGCAGCGCTCAGGATGAGTATCTAAACCTTGTCTTTTTAGTGCCCTCACTTTGTAATAAAACTGAGCTGTTTTCTCCTACCCTTCCTGGTTTCTAAGGCCTCTTTTATGCTTCCCTGTCTTTCTGCTAGTATACATATCATGACTCAGAATCTCTCCTAGCCCATCCACAGAATCTGTGTGTTACTTGAAGACTTGCAGAGCTGCTTCTTAAGGTGCCATTAGTCCCAAATATAATACAATTTTTTTGATAGCCACATGAATTCAGCAAATTCTGAGCTGTTTTAGTAGCATTATATGGGGTTTCTAGTAGTGAAAATGCATCCAAAATGTCTTCCTAATGGAGTCCCAGGAAGCTAACAGAAGTTGTCCATTGTTCTGCCACCCTCCTCAAAATTTAGGAACAAACTCTGGATGTCTCTAGGGTCATATTCTGTAACTTACACAGACCTAAACAGTTTAAGTGGTTCTTGCCTCTATATATTCTAGTAGCAGACTGTCATTTCAAGCTCTATTGCTGCAGAGAATCTTTGAAGTAGCCCCATGCTGCACCTGTGATCTGGGCTGTAGCAGAGAAAGTCCCAGGCTCAGATGATGTATGCATATTTGGGTCTTTCTCTATTTCCCCACCTCAAAGCAAGGAAAAGATCTTATGGAGTCAGTAATAACTGTGTAGTTGTATTGGAACTTGTCTTTGGAACTCCTAAAAGTTCTTGCAATTGCACTGGTAAGCAAGGAGAATATATAAGGTATATGTGTACTAAATATTTGAATATATACTAACTGTATTTTAAAGACCAGTATTGCTTCATTGTAGCCAGTATTCTTACCCCTGGTTCCCCCTCTCTTGATATTTTCAGAAAACTTGGAAATGATGAAAATAAGTTTGTTTACTTAGTCTAAAAATGTCAGTTTTTAAATTTGTTATGTTAAGTTGAATGTATCTAATATCTAGTCTTAGGGATGTTTATTCTTCTAAATGTCTATATACCATTTGTTGTTAACCATTTTGCTTTTACAAGTGAGAAGAAATGGGTGATTCAGTACATATCCCTGAAGTACACACAACTGTAGGAAATGCTTCATAAATCCTCAAGGAAGAGGGAAAACCATGAGAGAAATAAACAGGGAGCAAGATTAATTTACAACACAGAAAACTGTACTGTAATAATTGATCATAATAGATACTGCAACATATGGCTATTCATAAAGCTTAATTATTTGTAGAAGAATTTCTAAATACAGTCATGTTCCACGGTGATTGGAATGAGAAATCTGTTCTCTATGACAGTAGCCTTTGAATTACTTAATATGAAGTTAAACAAATTAAGTCAAATAAGTGTTAAGTTGTTACCTTCTACCATGTCACAGTAAAATGTTTGTCCTAAAAAACAGGTGATAATAGGTGGGAATACTGTAGGAGTGTGTGTGTGTACATATATATATTTAGTATGTGTTGAGTAAAGCTGCTTGAGAAATGTATGAAAATAATTGACTAGAGCTATATGCAAAGCTGTCCCATTATCTTGATTAATGCTTGCATTAGTTTACTTTGTGAAAAGCATATGTATGTGAATGGTGTTTTAAGAATGCTACCCGCTGTCCTCGCTTAAGAAGCGAGAACCTGGAATCCTCTTTAAACTTTTTTGTCTCTTTTTTGTATAATTTTTCCACTATTTCACACATGGTAGTCAGCTTTTATACATTTAGGTATGTCCTGTGCTGTAGTTCTAAAACTTTAAATGTTCCAAGGTTTTGCTGTGGTAGGCCTTCAACTTTATAGTTATAGGGAGAAAAATTGCATAAGACTTAAGGGAGCAGGCTACAGAAAATTCTTTTTCATGTTTATAGTTCTTTCAGCTTCCTACGTTATCGAGGCAGTTAATTCCCCTTTTGTTGATTTAGATGTAGAATACTCAGTGTGTCTGTTTCTCTATTTTTCTTTTAAACAGTAATGTCGTCTGTATGCAGTGCTGAACGTACATTGTTCAGATAGGCTAAAATTTAAATTATCCACAATAACCCTTGTAAATATATACAACTGGTAAAATAAAAAGAAAAATACTTTCAACTCACTGAACAGGACTTTCATTAAACTTGTGGAAGTTTGGAGTTGTGGGGGGTTGACTTGGCAGTGCGAATCAGGTCACTAGTCATTATGCAAGCTTGTTAACCTACAGTTTTCACTGTATGAGGACATTGGGAGCAAGCCTAGTGGGATTAGTCAGGCAAAAAGCTGATGAATTGACTACGGTAATATCTGTTATCAGACCCCATTACTCATTAGGGCATTTTGAGCTGAGAGCTAAAAACACAAAGCTTCATAATGCAATTGAACCAAGTGCCATGTCCTTAAATCTCATATTGAGAATAATTACATTGCCAATGTAAATTTCCGTTTCTATACAGAAAGTATAGCTGTTTCTGAAGGCTAATTGGTCTTCATTTGTTTTCTGTGACTTGTGTGTGGGGGGGGTTTTTTGTGTGTGTGTGGTTGGTGGTTTGTGTGTCGTGGTGTGGTGTGTGGTGTGTTGTTTTGTTTTGTTTTGTTTTTTCCGGCCAGTGCTTCATGGGGAGGCGTTTTTCCATGCTCTTTGCTAAAACCTAAAAGAACACTAGTGCTTGCCAGTGTTATTATAAGTAGGTGTCTTTTGAAATGCTGAATCCTTAAGGGAGAAATACCTTAGATGATAGGATCTTTCTCCTTTTACTTGAAAATGTTAGGAAAGTGGTTTATGTGGGGTTTGGGATTTGGGGGGGAAGAATTTCTGGGAAATGGCTTATGGTTAATTAGCTTCTCCCATATATTTTTACATCTAAAATGTTTTATTTAATGCACTGAAAAAATAGTTTAAAAAAAGTCAATCACTTCTTTATTTTTAATGAGCAGATATTAAAGTGCTTTCTTCTCTCTCTCCTGAAATTTTCCTAGCGAGTAGAAAATGGTGACTTCAACTGGATTATTCCAGGAAAATTTTTAGCATTTAGTGGACCACACCCAAAAAGCAAACTTGAAAATGGTATGTGTTCTAATAGATATTTTAATGCTATTATTTGATCTTATTTCCAGCATGTTAAACAGTTATAGCAAATAAGCAAAGAAGGTAAAGACTTATAGAAAGGTTGGTTGTTCAAAAATAATTGTACAGTGAAGGTTTTGTTTAAGATCATAGAGCTTAATTCCAAAGGTCTCTTCTAACAGTCAGTGACTTCCAGTTGGTGACAAAGTGCCTGAGAAACTTAGGTTCCTTACTCTTCTTCTGAGCCAGACAATTGATATGATAAACATGCAGAACTAAATATAATCTACATAAAGTAAATGAGAAAGTATTAAGGGTTTTGCAAAACTGTATGCTTCTTTACAAGTATAAAGGATCAGAAACTTATCAAGAAAGACCCAGGGAAAGAAAGTAGTTGGCAAGTTAAAGGTAAACCAAGTACAGATCTGTTGATAACAGCATCAGACTCCTTTCTTCTCATTCTACCTTTCTGACCTCTTTGAAGGCTTTTTTACTTCATAGTGGAGGAAGAATATTTCTAGTACTATAATTTCTCCTTTAACTGTTCCTCTTGTCCATGCTATAGATCACCAACCAAGCTTCTTTATAAAGTCTCCTCCTAAAGTGTCCTTTTATTCTGTGTCTTCTGATCTGCAGCTTCTGCATTGCAGCTGCTCTGCAATGATGAATTCATACATGTACCTAGTTTTAATGTATGTATAAACCCCTACTTGTAGAGGGCATTGATCTAAGCAGGATACAGTACAGTGCTTCAGATATGTTGTGCTTTAATTTTCTTTTTTTTAAATGCTAGTCTTGATGAAAGCATTTTGTGGACAATGTCTTTATGACTTAATATCTGTGTGTTGTTTTGAATAAAATATTAAACCATTTGCAGCCGGTTAAAATTCTGAAAAATGTTTTCTGGGGGATTTTGGTTTTCAGGACTTGAAAATTCATCTATGGCATGAAATGATGTATTTCTTATAACAGATTTTGCTTTTTTTTAATTTTATTTAATAGGTTATCCTCTTCATGCACCTGAAGCCTACTTTCCTTATTTCAGGAAACACAATGTCACATCAATCATAAGACTAAACAAAAAAATCTATGAGGCAAAACGCTTTACGGATGCTGGTTTTGAGCATTTTGACCTGTTCTTCATAGATGGAAGCACGCCAAGTGACAGTATAGTTCAGAGGTTCTTGAACATCTGTGAGAATGCTGAAGGTGCTATTGCTGTACATTGTAAAGGTATGTTCACTAGTTTATTTCTCATATTGCAGTTATTCCAGAAATAAAATTTTTTAAAAAGCACCGTCTGGCTTTGAAAGTAATATTGCTTTACAGTATTTGACTAAATGCATGACAGATAGTTGATATTTTCATGTATGTGTCAAATTCTTTAGTGTTGCACCCTACCCCTTAAAGGATGTGACAATCTGTTGTTCATTGTTTTGTTTGTCTTAATTTTATGTAAAGGTGTGGATTTTTGTTGACAGACATTTCTCTTTTGCGTTATGCTTGCAGAGTTAGCATTATAATAATTGGCTAGGAAATGCTGAAGACAAAAGGGTTTTCTTTATACTTCTGGACTACTGCTTTTACACCTTTCTGTTTAGCATGACTTCTGCGTGCTCACAAGCTAATGTGAGTTGAGTGTGATGCTGGTATTTTGAACCAGACTATTTCAGCATGTCAACCGAAAAATAAGCAAAACTTCCTTAGTGAAGGAGGAATAACAAAGACTTTATAGATTTCAGCTTATTTTATTTAATAGAACTGCGTAAGGGCATTGTTGTAGAGACAAGTGGCTTGCTGATCTGAAATAAGAGTAGTGCTATTCATTCATCGCTTCTTCCCTAAGCACTACACAGGCATATCAAAGGTAAATAAGTTTATTTGCTGACAAGTTGTTAGTTGCAGCTAGAACACAGAACTTCTGGCATTAATAAGCTGACTATCTGCTACTTGACTTAATCATGATTTAAATTACTGATCAGTGAGAGTACTCTTGTTACAGAAGTATTACAGGCACAACTTCCACGCTGGAAATCACTCTTTCCAGAGTTAAAAAATGGTTTAATGCAAAAGGTTGCTATGAAAGGTTTGTACGTTAGCAGGAACTTGCAGTAAAGAACAGAAGTCTTGGTGAGGTGCGCAGTTGGTAGATACTGCCTGCAACTTTCTGGCACCATTTTCTTACTCAGATGTATGTTCAGCATAGTACAACCTTTTGGTAATCTATATGCAAGTTGCATCCCTTTTGTGTTTAAAACAAACAAGCAACTCCCAAACCCAACCTGTCTCTCTAAGAGTACTTCTTCCCACTCTAAATGATTCTTCTGGCATAATTTTATATGCTGGTCAGTATTTATTGCTGTTTCTATATTAAACCATTGAATAATCATACAGGTTAGCCTCATTTACAACAAATTTGAATTAAAAAAACCAAGCCACTAGCACACAAGACAGTTAAACATGCTGTTAAATGCAGTGATGTGCGCATGCATTTGCACGTATCTGAGTTTTGACTTGTAAAGGATGCATTTTGGCCTTTGTACAAAGGTACTTTAACTTGCTCTGTCATTTACTGGGTTGATAAATACGAAATTTTTATCCAGCTTTTTCACAGCTTTAATATCAGAGCCTTACAAAAAATTTTTAAGTAGAATTACACAAATGAGAAGGATGACCACTGTTGTGCTTTTCTTAAACGCTATTAACTTTGTATGGTAAATGGGATACTGAACCAGAAGTTCCTTCTTCAAATGTCAAGGTAGTGAATAACATTACAAAGTAGCCTTTTCCTCATGTCCTGTACTCAAAATTAATTTGATAATGGTGAACGGCTCATGGTTTTGTACATGAACATGTTCATATGTGTTACTATAGCAGGCCTGGGGAGAACAGGAACACTGATCGCCTGTTACATAATGAAACACTACAGGTTCGCACATGCCGAAGCCATTGCTTGGATAAGAATATGCCGACCAGGCTCTATTATAGGACCACAGCAACACTTCTTGGAAGAGTACGTATACCACGTTTGTTACTAAGAATCAACTGCTTCTCTATGTTTTTATTCATCTTGAACTATTTATTTGTAGGATCTACTTTCTGTCTTGAGGTGGTATATTATTGCCTGTTGTTTTTTATATATATACACATATATATGTGTGTGTGTATATGTGTGTGTGTGTATGTATATATATGTATGTAGTTAGTTAATTTGAGATTGCTACTGATTAAGTTTGATCTCAATTGTCTTTCTGGAGTGCTAGGCACTTCGTCATCTTAAGGGGCAGAGAGTCTCAAAGCTCAGCTTGAATGTTTGTGTTCTGGGAAACTTAGGAGGTAAAGGCAATTAGTGTTGGGAGCGCAAATTCCAGGTGTGGACAAAAGATTAAATTAACGAGCAGGGTTTTATTAAAATCTTAACACATGGGATTACACTTGATATACTTGAAGCCTATGCTGGTGCTTCATAAAATGAATCTTATTGTAGTGTAGTCCATATGTTTCTTCTTGTAACTAAAGATGAAATGAGTGTGTGATGGACAGCTTATAATCTCTGTCAAACTGCTAGCATAATGTGTGAAGCAGTTCTAACTCAGAGCTAATACAGTTGTTAGCAAAAGGTAAATGCATGATTTAAATATGATCCTTCTCAGAATGGACTATATACTTCTGTTTGAAAACATTTCACATACAGATAATTTAAAGGAGTGATTCACAGTTTGATCCTAGGGTGACTGGCAGTGAATGACAAAATTCCACTGGCTTCAGTGGTGTAGACCAATATCCTTACCGAGTTTAATTTCATAGGCAGTTTCTACACTGTATTTCCTATTACAGTGGTTGTCATGATCACTTCTGTGGGTTGTATGCAGGACTGATGTACTTTTGTGAGCTCTGAAGCAAATGCTTTTTAATTGGAGACAGTTTCATTGTTATGAGAAAAATCACTGATAAAATCCACTAGAAATTTCTGAATCTTTTGGGGGAAAAAAGAATGTAACAGTTCTTCTAGACACTGTATAAATATAGTAGGATGTTTTCTGACCTTGTATTTAAAATACATGGGATATAAAAGGGAAAGGAGGAGTATTATTGGAGTTCATAAGAGAAATTGAGTCTGAAAAGAGGGTTCATTTTTAATTTCCAGAGTAAATGAATGGGAGCTCCTTTAAGAGGTGTTCCACCGTCATTGAAAATACAGTGCGAATCAAACTTTGCACAAACCATTAGTCCTCACTGAAGATGGACTGAACTTCTGCCTACCATGCTGATACTTGGGTGATGCACTCTTTTAAGAAAAACTTCCACAACAGAGCAAAATTGAGAGAGGGAAGATAGTAGGTAGTGTGATCAGTAAATACTGTTCACTTAAAAGATGTGAGAAACAAGACCAATGTCTGCTAGTTTCTATGGTGGCCTGTAAATACCTGTTCTGAGACTTTCTTTCCCTGTTATTTTGTTTTCATTCATACCTTGCTTATTTATGGCTAGGAGATGAGCATCAAAAGCGAAATACTGTTCTGGAAGTATTTTCTGTTACCCTAATGACAATACATACTGGGTTTGATAATCAAACAGAAGTCAGCTGATGTCACTGACAGTGGCAAAATGCCTCCCTTAGGAGGGAGAAGGAAGAAGCTAACATCAATTGCATCCATGTAATTTAATCTAAAATACAGAGGGCTATAAAGTTGCATTTGGAGAAAAGGTAAGATCTTGCAAATTTGATCTCCCCAGCCTTTGTGGATGTGTGGGCTTCGTTTCTTAGGTCCTTTGAGTTTTATTGAAGGAAGTTTGAGCAGGTTTTCTGTAGAGGCCTCGCTTGGTAGGAGGGTGTCAGATGAGTTGGCTACTGTGGATGCGTTAATTCTGAGAGATTTCTATGATGTTCAAAATAAAAGCATATCTTCCAGGCTTCTTCTGTTAGGTGGAATAAATGATGTGTGCACCTGTCCTCTGCGCTCTCTCTTGATCTTGGGATGCAGAGAAGTCTTTCTGGAAGTGCTTACCTTTCCTGTTTATTGCCGAGGGAGTTTGAGCAATTGACTAGGAGTACCTGACGAACTGCACAATGTCTGTGTATACAAAACTCATGTTAGTAATACACTGTACAGCACCATAACATTTATTCTACACATTAAAAGCGCATTATTATTTTATGTGTGCTTTTAAGATTTATTTTAAGCCTTTAAAATATTGTTCTAAATTCCTCTTTAGTTATTCTTTCTTTTTCCATTAGGATCTTGTAAAATGAAGCTTTATTATCTGCAGTATTTCTGTGATTGTTAGAGACATATTTGGTGATCCTGATTTAATTTTACCATTCAAGAGGATACTTTTTTGTGATATTCATGCAGCTCTTTCTTCTTCCACTGAAGAAGATATACAGATAACTCAAGTGTTGACAAGCTGGAAGGGTAGCATGTTTTCTTGATAGTTTTTATCTGTGTGCAAGTGTGGTGATATTAATTTAGGTTTGTATCTGACAGGAAGCAAGCAATGTTGTGGCTGCAGGGAGACCTCATCCGATCAAAACAGAAACAACGAGTAGTCAACGATGGAAACATGAACAGAGTTCTCTGTGGCTTGGATGAAATTTCAATCAGTGGCAGCTTTAATAAGGTACAGGAGTTGGATCAATATGGGGAGGTAAGGTTTCAGAGGAAAAATTTCACATAAGCAGAGATGAAGGTGTTTTTCTAATAACTACAATTCTAACAGAGAAAAACCTAAAAATGATCTATAGCTAGTTTTATTAGCTTGTTTTCTCACAGCTGAACTGCTCTTCATTTTTGTTTTTTTTAAAGAATGGGTCTTAATTAGAACAAATCTCGACTTTCTCAAACTTTGAAAACTTATAAATCATTTCACACAATTCAGCAGATTTGCATTATTTGAAGTCATTCTTCTGGGGTTTTCAGTAACTTATGGGGGGGAGGGAGGGAGGGAAGGAATTAGTTTTCCTACTGGAAATCATTTATTCCAAATTTCTAGCTACTAATGCATGAATAGATAGATGTCTATCCCTTATCAAAGCTTTATAGACTGACACAGGATGTGGTGTGTGCATAATAGGGTGAGGACCTGACAGTTATTTAGCTGAAGTGTGAGCTGAAGTGGTCCTAATTCTGCTACTGAGCCAGTAAAAATTATAAACTGTTGTTCCATCCTACAATATCTTCCAGGAGCAGTTCAGAGGAACTGTTCAAAGTGCCTTTGATTAATCCTGTCTTAGCTCTGTAATAACTGAAGAGCTTTTATTTTGCCGACGGAATCCTTTTTGATGTAAAAGACCAGCAAACTCTACTGGGCACCTTTTCCAGATAGTACCTCTACAGAAATGTATATAATGTGGTCTTCTAGATTATGATAGATCAGTGATTATTTTATGCTGATAACTCTTTACCTTTTGGAATTTCAGTTTGTGGCTTGGCATCCGTAAAGGTAATTATCGAGATTAACTGGAGAATACAAGCCAGTGTGGAGATGCCTGGTCTTGTATACCTAATGAAAACACCAGACACATGGCCATATAGTTTAATGTTTTTGAATCTGAACTGCTACAACTTCACTGCTTCCAGTATTCAAGGCAGTTTATTTGCACGCAGCTCAGCTACCTGAACACTGTGTAGCTGCTTAGGTACAAATTCAGTGTAACTCCACTATCGGTGATTGTTTCCTGGTGCCCTGCTGTAGCTTCTAGCATCAGCTGGATCAGTGCTGTGGACTCTATTGAAAGGCACCAGAAATAGCTTTTTGGAATAGGATTCATTCCTTTTGTCTTCTGCAAGATATTTCCTGTCACTTAAGTTATCCTATCAGGACATAGGTGTTCACACTGCCCTTTGATCAACCATCTTGATAGTCATGGATGTTGTTTATGAGGACCCCAAAATTAAGTTATTGTTTTTATTGCTAGTGCTTCTTTTTCTACTGTAACCCTCTCTAATATGACCATTTCAGGCTTTTACAGATGGGATATTAAAACTGCTAGCGTTTAGTCTGAAAAACATTGAATTTTCTTTATCTCTTTATATCTTTGGTTATACTTCAAGACGTCATTATACTAGGTTCTTTAGAAACTCAAAACAAAGGAACATTCCCAGTTCCAAAATGTGTACGTTCTAAGAAGGAGAGGACAGACAGCTACATATTGATAGCTGTTGGGCAGGTAAAGACAGGGAAACAAAATTGATCAGCATTGAGGCTGAATGATAGGTAACAGCAGCCTAGCATGTAGTCTTCAACAAAATCTAGCTACAATATTTATGTTCTCCTATAATTAATGCCACACTTATAGACCGTCACACTATTTGATTAATTTCTATTGTATAGACTCTTCTGTCAATCTTTTGTCTCGACTAAAGGCAGAAACTCTACTGTTCTGTTTTATACAGAACCATGAGATCACTTATGCTCAATAGGAACTACTATAATACAAACAAATACTTTAATCTGAGATCAAATGTGTAGTGTAATTAATATTTTTTGTAATTGCCAAATGAAAACTTATGGCAGTGGTCTTGCTACTTTAACTTTCATATTTTTCTGCTACGTACTCAAGATGCAGTCTCTATTTAATATTTGAGCCTTAGGAACGTCTCTATTCTGAGACCAGTGAGAAAAGATAAATAGGCACTTAAAAACAGTGTTGGCACACGTTTTTCATATTTCTTAGCTTAAAACATTTTCTAGTGCTGAAAAAGTAGCTTAAAACTCTGAAATCTGTTCACCCTCTATTCCTTATTAAGTTTTTGAAGGAGAATTCTTCCAAAACTGTATTTTTCTGGAGGTCATAGGAACTTCTTATTTAAAAAACAACCTTCTCCCTCCCCACGCGCACACACAACTTAGTAACTTAGGAAAGTATATTTTTAGCTCCCATTGCAGAACGCAGACCTTTAACTAAATCTCTTTCCTCATCTTCTGCATATCACATAATCGGATACTGCTCTTTCCTCTCCATATTAACAACTTTTAAAAGTGATGCAGTATTGAATTGGAGTTGAAGGTCCATAAAAACAGACTAAACAGACTTAAGAAAATTTTTATATATGCTGACACTAGGCTCGAGCATCCTGAACTAACTTTGAGATCAGGTTCTGCAAAAAGCATCTGTGAATATGCACTCACATTAAATTCACTGGAACTTTGCAAAGCAGAGTACAGCCACATGAGTGTAAAGATTGTAGGATTAGCCTTTTAAGTATTAATCTTCTCACTCAGAGATGCGCAATGCTTTGAAACTTCACTGTGCTCTTAAGGGTTCTGTATTCTTCTTTGTTTGCATATATGGTGTTTTCCAGAATGATTCTGAAGACAAAGCAGGTATGGAAACTAAAAACGGCATGACACAGGGAGATAAACTTCGTGCCTTAAAAAGTCGGAGACAACCACGCTCTGCTACGACTGGAGCTCTGAGGTAATTTGCAGTTCTAAATTCAGTCTGTGCTATCAGATCTTTATAGCAAGTATACGGTCTTATTTAAGGCAGTTGTACTAGATTTGTGGTAGCAATCTAGTACATATAATAGCTGCAAAGGCAGTTGCACTAGATTTGTGGTAGCAATTTATATATATAATAGCTGCACGCTTGTTAATTTCTTCTTTTATTTCATGTCGTTCTATATAGGGATAGGTACTTGGTTTTTAGCAGTAAAAGTAGAAAAATGTCTCAGCCTTCAAAGTCATGTTATCTAGCGTTTATGTACTTAACAAAATATTCTTCAAAGAACTTGGTTATGTTTCTAAAATTATTTTTCTGTATTCTTCGTATACACTTTGAATCTTTCAAGAACAGTAAAAATGCAAAGTCTGAAGATAAACCTGAAATACTTCTGTTTAACTGTAAGTTAAAACTGTAAATTGAAAAAGATTGTCAATAATTCTTAACTCTTTCATGAGTTTCCTACTTTAAACCTTACATACGTGTATACTTCAACTAATCAAATGATGATATTTCTTTAAATTTCTGCTTTGGTTTCTTTAGGCTGGAAGAAATGAAACTGCACACCAGGTCAATATCGCAACCTCTCAGGTATTAATTTGAGAGAAATCATCCAGTATATTTAATAATAGTTCTAAATGCATACCACTCAACTCTTAAATTGTCAGCGCTTGTGTTGTATTTATCACATGGATTGATTAGCAGTTTCAGAACACTTCTCAGGAGTGGCAGGGAAGAACTTTTTTCCTTTGAGCTAGCGTGAAAAGTGTGATTTTTTTTTTTTTTTAAGAGCTATAGGAATGGTAGATTCAAATCTTTTGTTTTTTGTAACCAATGGTCCCTTTATCACTGCATCTAAAATAGAGCATGAGAGTTAAAATATTTGTCTTTATAAAGCGTTAATATGAAAAAGAATACATTACCATCAGTTTTATTGCAACACGCATTTTTAGATGGGTTATAGAGAAGTCTAATTTGGGATACTTCTGTTTACCCTTTTTTGGCACAGAGTTAAATCCATTTCTGCTCAGTGTCATTGCTTCTGTGCTTTCAGTTGGAGCCTTGTACCAAGGCCTGTCATCCCTAGGAGCTGATCATGGTAATATCCCGGCCTAAGGATGAAGAGAATTTCACTCTGCTGATAGGGTATTAAGTATAGTAAAAGATTTAATAAACTAACATGAACGCCTGTGAAAGCTAATAGCATTTTGGAGTAGCTCAGTGTACCGTACTTAGAGCTCTTTAAGAAAGTAGGAAGAACTTGGTCCTTGAGTCACCCTTTAAAGAGCTGTATGTTTTATGCAACTTAGCAAAAAATGTTATTGCTGTCATTTGGAAAAGAGAATTTTTTTTTCTAATCTCATGAAAGCTTAAATTTAAGTTTTTCTACTCATACATGCTTAATAAGCACAAAAAGCTTTCTTTTTCATGGTAAATTTAATGCGAAATGGACACTTACCTCCACAAAGTGTTTTTTTACCTAATCAAGGTGAGTAGCCTGTAATTATATAATATCCCTCTCCCAAATTTTTCCCTTGCTATACCATAATAAAGTTATTTTCAGAACAGGCAAATTATGTGCTAGTTGAGTTCTCAGTACCTGAAACATGAGATGCCCACTTCTGAAAATCTTAATATTTAAAGCCTGTTTGAGATGTATATTTCAATTATAATAATCTTGCTTCTCATTAAAACTCTGCACTCCTTTTAGACTGAATACTTCAGGTAGTACAGAAGGATCCATGTCTCCTCTGAAGGCCTCCAGAGTGATGGCAGTTATTTCACCATCTGCAAAAAGAATAAACAGGACTCCCACATCCTCAGGCTCTAACCTTAAAAGGTTTTTGTTTTTCTTTTTTCATTATGGTACAAATGCTTATTGTACAGTACAGTGGTTTTCAGGATGTGTGCTATCTATAAAGGGGTTGTTGTTTTTAATTGCAAGATGGCTTACGTTTACTTACAAAACTATTTGCTGTCCTACTAGCTAAATGTTAGCTATTTGCAGATCAACAAGAAAGAAAACTACTAGTTTAAGCGTTAGAGGGGGATTATTTCAATTTAGAAACAGTATTATGTCATTCAGAGGTTTTTTTTAAACTCATCTGAGTTTATAGACATGTAAGAATACTTACAAAATTTCTATGTGCTATTGATCCTAGAATAATACTGAATTGCAATGATTTTTATGAATGCTTGAGTTACTGCTATTTAATACCATTATTACTACTGTAATAAGTAGTAATAAGTGTAACTGAATTTCTATCATAATTTCTGGGTACAAGCATTTATTTGAAGAAAATAATTTTAGAACATCCTATTTTATTCTTGGTTACTTGAAGTCTTGTCTTATGTTACGGCTTTTAAGAAACAGAAGTTCCCAAACTATTATGTGTTCACAAAGCACTTCAGTGTGGATAACCCACTGCCTGAACCTTTTAACACCATTTCTGTCGTATGTGTGGGGTTTGACACAGAGGTGGAAGTTGGCAGTGATAGTACTGGAATAAACCAAGTTTGGGAACTCCTGACACAGAATTCTGATTTTTCATTATTTGAGAGAAGAAAAAGTGAAGCTGTGTGCAAGCATTAATTATTTCAGAATGGTCCATGTATTCCCCTGATGTCTTCTGAATTGTCTGTTAAATTGTCACGTATCTATACGTACATTGTGTGTATCTTTTTCCCCGCATGTGTTTTCCATTCAGCGTTTCCATAAACTCCAGGCTAGCCAGTTCTCTAGGGAACCTGTACACTGCTTCAGATGATGATGAGAGCAAAATGACATCATTGTCCTCTAGGACAGGTTTTTCTGTAAGTCAAATCTCCAGCCACTTGAATGGCAGCTTGCAGCTGCCTCACAGAAATAACCGTGAACTGAACAACAACTTGTACAACAGAAGCAGCAGTAGTGGCAACAACCTGAGCAGCCAAAGCAGTTCTCACAGCGCCGTGACAGATGAGTACAGCATCTATCAACCCTCCTTTACAAGGCTTACAACTCCTCCAGCACGATACCTGAGTCGATCAATTCCTGTAAGTTCACAGTCACAAAAGCCCTTTCAGGCATCAGACCAGTGCTTATCTTCCTTGCTTCTGCAAGAAAAGCTATCACCCAAAACTTGTAACCCACCATAACTTTTTGACCTCTTTGTGACCTAACAGCACCTTTGGTTACTTTAAGTAAATACTACTTCAGCTGCTTTTTTTTTTTTTTCCTGCCTCTTTCAATCTTCTAGATCATGAAGATTTCATGAAAATAAATAATTCCTGAAGTTAAACCAACTTTAATACCTTTTCTTTTTCCTTTTTACCACCTTCTGCTTCAGACTTTTATTTCAAGTTAGCTGTAACATAGTAATTTTATGTTTACTATGTAGCTTAATCTTCATGAGGTAGCAGTTTTAAAGAAACTTTTGCATGTGTCATACTAAATGGAAGATCTTGCGTTCTGAAAGAGGATGCCCATCTCAAAAATGGGTCCACTTGACTTGAGATGTAGACCTTTTCTAACACTGAGTGAAAAGTATTTTAAGGCAATATATTTCTGATGCTGTCAACGTCTTACCTTTCATAACTTCACAATTTTACTGCACAGGTGTTATTTTATGCCCTTTCTTTCCTCGACGTAAGAATCTGTATCAAGAAGCTGCATGGATAGTTCAGCGCAACCTGAAAGCGGGTCTATCCAAAATCCAGAGTAGAGAGACTAGGGAGACTTCAGCTACAAAATTACAAGTAACTTCATTTATAGAATGTCACTTCTTGGG